GCTAAAGCTAAGCTAAACCTAAGCTGAAGCTAAGCTAGTTCTAAGCTAAAACTACGCTAAAGCTAAGCTAAAGCTAAGCTGAAGCTAAGCTGGAGCTAAGCTAAAGATAAGTTGAAGCTAAGTTACATGTAAGATAAAGCCAAGGTACAGCTAAGCTAAAGCTAAGCTAAAGCTAAGGTAAATCTAAGGTGAAGCTAAGCTAAAGCTAAGCTAAAGCTAAGCTACAGCTAAGCTAAAGCTAAGCTAAAGCTAAGGTACATCTAAGGTGAAGCTAAGCTAAAGCTACGCTAACGCCAAGCTACAGCTAAGCTAAAGCTAAGCTACAGCTAAGCTAAAGCTAAGCTAAAGCTAAAGCTAAAGATCCCAGGGGACTGGGGGAACCGCGGGGCGGATCCTGGGGGAAGCGCCTGGGGCGGGGACCACTGCCCGGCCCCTTAAAAGCTCACAGGGTAAGAACCCTTCTAGGCAGAGCTTAGGTAGGGAAATAGTAAAACGTAGCACCCCAGCACCCCGCAATTGCGGATAAGAGTGAGGGGGCAGGCGCGGGCGATGCGGGCGTCGAGCCGGCGGACCTCGTGGCCCTCACCTTCCCTGTCGATGGCGCCCTCCTCTTCCTTCTCCTCCTCCTCCTCCTCCTCCTCCTCCTCCTCCTCCTCCTCCTCCTCCTGCTCCCCCTCCTCCTCCCTCCTCCTCCTCGTCCGCGTCCTCGTCCTCGTCCTCATCGTCGTCGTCGTCGTCGTCGTCGTCGTCGTCGTCGTCGTTGTCGTCGTCCGCCTCCTCCTCCACCTCCTCCTCTTTGTCCTCCTCCTCCTCCTCCCTCCTCCTCCTCGTCCTCCTCCTCCGATTGTCAATGAACGTCTTGAGACACAGCCCCGCCGAAGGCGCCGATGTGCTGTTGTAGAGTCAACGTGGGCCGGATCGTGGGAATGGCACGGGGGCGTTTTCCCAAACCAGTGCGAGCAAGCCCGCCGCAGGCGCCGATTTGCGTGCTCTGACAAGTTCAGCGCGGGGGGGATCGCTGGTGGGCCACCCAGAACGAATGCAAAAACAGCCCGCCGCAGGCGCCGAATTTTTGGCTTGTTCAGTGAACGTAGTTTGGGTCGCGGGTGGGTCGCGGGCTCTCCACCTCCACCTGGGAGGAATTCAAAAACAGCCCGCCGCCAGCGCCGAAAATTTTGGGTGTGTCCCGGGGGGGGTCGCGGGGGGGTCGCAGGTTCCCCACCTGGAACGAATGCAAAAAAGCCCGCCGCATGCGCCGAAAATTTTGGGTGGGTCGCGGGGTGGGTCGCGGGTGGGTCGCGGTGGGTCGCGGTGGGTCGCGGGATGGGTCGCGGGCGCGGTTTGGGTCGCGAATGGGTCGCAGGTTCTCCACCTGGAACGAATGCAAAAGAAACCCGCCGCAGGCGCCGAAAAATGGGTCGCGGGTTCGCGGGGACGCGGGTGGGTCGCGGGTGGTCGCGGGGTCGCGGGGTGGGTCGCGGGGTGGGTCGCGGGTGGGGTGGGTCGCGGGTGGGTCGCCGGTGGGTCGCGGGGGTCGCGGGCGGGTCGCTGTGGGTCGCGGGGTGGGTCGCGTGTTCTCCACCTGGAACGAATGCAAAAGAAACCCGCCGCAGGCGCCGAAAATTTTGGGTGGGTCGCGGGGTGGGTCGCGGGTGGGTCGCGGGTGGGTCGCGGGGTCGCGGTCGCGGGTGGGTCGCGGGTGGGTCGCCAGTGGGTCGCGGGCGGGTCGCCGGGAGGGTCGCGGGCGGGTCGCGGGGTGGGTCGCGGGTGGGTCGCGGGGTGGGTCGCGGGTGGGTCGCGGGGTGGGTCGCGGGGGGTCGCGGGTGGGTCGCGGGGTGGGTCGCGGGTGGGTCGCGGGTGGGTTGCGGGGTGGGTCGGGTGGGTCGCGGGGTTGGTCGCGGGTGGGACGACGACAACAGCAAACAACAAACAACAAACAAACAACAAACAACAAGCAACAAGCAACAACCAACAACCAACAACGACAACAACAACAACAACAACAATCACTTTACCCGAACGCTCAGTGTTCTCACCAGTGCCAGGGTTTTCATGCGACGCCAGCCAATACCCCCACTTTGTGGGGGGGCAGTGCAAGCTCTACCAAATATCCACACGACTCTTCGCCACCACCCACACCCAGCTTCCCGCCCTATGACGTTCGGACACTTCACTTCGTGGCCTGCGGACGACCGTGGCTACTACACTGGCGTGGAGTACACACCCACAGAAGTTGTTAAGCCTACGTTCGTCACCCACAGAAGTTCTTAAGCCTTGTTAACCCACAGAAGTCGTGGAAGGTTTTGAAAAGTCGTGCAGGTGTTTTTTCGAGGACCTACGGTGCGATTCGTGTGATTTTATGATGCGCGGTGCTAAAATTCTTAAGAACCCAATGGTTTTTGGAGATTTCGGCGTGCGCGCGCGAAGAAAAAACGAATGTGTCCCGCATGGTATTATTTGACAGGGATGATGGCCCTGGCAGGTGCGCAACCGTTGTCGCAGAAGTTCGAAAAAGTTGCTCGCAAAAGCCCGTTTGACAGAAATGTTTAAAAAGTGTTGGGTTTCCTACGAATCCGCAAGAGCGCGCGGGATGAGATTTTGACATTTTTTTGTTGAAAAACCATTGGTTTTTTGATGTTTTTATGTTAAAATCGCTCCGAACACTAAGCTTTTGGAAGGATTTCGTCTTGCGCGCGCGAATGTCCACTTTACCTTATTTTTTGCAAGGGATTCTTGAAATTTGATTATATTAGAACAAGAAATGTCATTTTATAGTGTTTTTTGCAAGGGAAAGCGGATTACAACAAAACAACCGGATCTGGATCACATCGTTTTACCTGAGGCTTCCTCACGAAAATGATGAAAATGTGGCTGCGGCCTAGGCGCGGCGAGGGGGGCGTGCACCAGGGGGCCCAACAATAATTATTCTTTAGAAGTAATAATATTCAACAACAACAACAACAACAACAACATCAACATCAACAACAACACCAACAACACCAACAACAACAACAACACAGATCCGCATCGCGGAATTCCACTTCAGCCACGCACCCAGGGACAGTGAATGACCGTTCGGTTCAGCCCCCTCACTCAGACAAGACTCAGAGGGCGGTTTTGCTTTGATTTTTTTTGTTGCGTATGTGTTTGATTCTTGTTTGGCCACTCTGCAACTTTCGTCCAGAATCCGCCCGTGCGGGGACATGCCCGACCTGAGGCTTTTTTTTGGTGCCAGTGGATGGCGACAGGCTGCCTCAAGGCCTACAGACGCCCTCCCCAGACCCCTCCGAGCAGTGCAGAAGTCACGACGGGCGGTTTCTCATTCTTTTCGGCCTCTGGGGGCCCTTACTGGGCCTCAGAACCGTCAAAAGACACCCTCACCATATGGGCTTTCACCCTCACCATATGGGCTTTTTCCTCCGACCCCCTCGAGTAATGAAGAAATCACGACGGAGGGTTTCGCCATTTTCGGCCTCTGGGGGCCCTTACCGGGCCTCGGGACCGCCAAAAAACGACGCGGGATGCAAAACCGGTCCCGGGGAATGGGTCGAGAAAGCGGAGGGTCGGCGCAATGAAAAAATCTTGACCTCGGGGGTTTTGGCTTGCCGAAGGCTGAGAGGAGTAGGGGGTCAAGAGAAATACAAACGCCCAGGAACAGCCTCGTGGCCACTCCAGGGCGGCATCAGCTGTGAAGAGCCCTAGCAAGGCAGCTCGCGGCCGAGGAGGCGACTGCGGCCACCGCACTGCCGGGCCCCCGTCCGTGCGCCGGGGTGGTGAGGAGACCACCGCAGGTCAGGGATACACACCGGTGTCGCACTTATCAGGCATGAGAGGGACACGCCGCTGCTCTAGGCCTCCTAGATGGGGTCGAAGTAGGTGGGGTCGGAGGATCGCGCCGCAGCGCCGATGCATCGCCGATGCGGCTCGATGTGCAGCCCGATGTGCTTCACGTCGACGTCGCCGATGCATCGCTGACGGCGCCGGTGCATCGCCGGTGCATCGCCGATGCATCGCCGATGCGTCGCCGAGGCATCGCCGATGCATCGCCGATGTGTCGGCGGTGCGTCGCGATCCTCCGACCCCATCCACTCCGACCCCATGCAGGAGGCCTCTGGCTGCCCTCCGCCCCACGAGCGGCCGCACCCGCGTGGCGGTGTGCCTGTCGCTCCCGGCGCGCGGGCCGCTCGAGGAGGCGGGGCCCGCGGGGCGGGGCGGGGGCGGTCGGCCTCGGATCGCGCAGTCGCAGCGCATCGGAGCTCTGGCCCTGGCGTCCTCTCTGGCAGGAATACACCCCAGGCGATGCTTAAGAAAGCCTAAGTTTTCGTCCAGAGTCTCGATTATTCTTAACTTTTCAATGTAAATCCCAAGATGTTAATAGAAGTTCGGGGTTTTTATTCAAATTCGCAGACTCTGAATTTCTTAACCCATGATTTCTTGAGCATTTCGCAGGGTGTATGTAGTTTCGAGTCGGGCATGTCCCTCTACATGAGGGGAAGCCCAAATCAGTCAAAACCTAGTCAGGGGACATTTGTTTCAGACAGTTCTGTTTGATACTTTCTAGGCTACGTCTTAATTTGTTCTTCCAGAGTTCGCCTGTAGGAGGACATGCCCGAGCTAAGTGTAGTTCCATAGGCATGATTCCTCGGATGTCCGCGCGGATGTCGTTGATCTGCTATGGATACCCCCGCTGGCGCCTCCGGCGCCGCCCCTGGCGCGCGGAGCGCGCCAGGGATGGCATCCGCTCGGACCTCCAGTAGTTTATGTCTACGCGGCTTCGTCTTTTTCGAAGATCGGATCGGATTGGAGTCTGGGCCTGGCGCCCCCCTCGGACGCCCTCGGAACCGAAGTGGCGAGCAAACAGCGCCGTCTAGACTCCAGCCCTGTGCGCTGGCAGAGCGCAGGGCGTGGCCCGGCCGCCCCCCCCGCGCCCCCCGCAGAGTTAGTAGGGACCTTCCCGCGGCGCAGGGGCCCCTCTTCGCCGCCCGCGGGCCGAAGGCCCGATGGCGCGCCTCCAGCGTTCCCCGGCGATCGCCAAGACCTTGCCCATCGAGGCTCGGGCCGACTGCGGCGCTGCCCCGTGGCCTGGCGGCTCGGTGCCCGGGGCGGCGAGGAACATGGACCTGACGACGGCCGGCAGGCGAGCCGTCCCCGCCGGTTCGCCGCCGGGCAGCAGTGGGAACGCCAGTGGCCAGGAGGAGGTGCTGCCGGCCCGGCAGGTCGTGGAGGCGGCCCGGCTGTCGAAGCACGGCGCGCAGCAAACCAGGCGGCCAGGCCGTACAGACCGAGCTCAGCCGACGAGCCACATGAAGCCCGCGGTGGTCATCTCCGCCGACCTCGAGGCGGCGCGGGGCACCGCGCTCCGCGGGGGCGGCCTGAGCGGGTGCACCACAGTCAGGCTGAAGAACGTGGAGCCGTCGCTCATGCCAGGCATGGCCATCGCCGCGCTCAACGCCAACGGGTTCAAGGGCACGTTCGACTTCGTGCACGTGCCCACTGACGTGAAGAGGAGGAGGAACAGGGGCATGCTCTTCATCAATTTTGTCGAGCCCGCGGCAGCGAATGCGATGTACCAGTCCTTCCACCACCAGACGATTCCTGGAGTCAGCCCGGCGGGCAAGGCGCTGGAGATCACGCCAGCATACGTTCAGGGCTTTCAGGAGAACTTCGACCGGCATGCAAAGTCCGAGGCTCCTTTCCTTGAGTGTTTCCGTTGTGTACTCTAGTCGGCCACGAGGCCCACTTGAGAGCGTCTAGCAGGCGTGCGCTACCCAAGGCGATGACTCGTCTGCATGGGGATTGAGTTTGCCTCCCACGGTTCCAGGCACTATTGTACGGCAGACTTGGGAGCTGTCGGAGCAGAATTTGTCCGAGGAAGTGATGTCCCCTTGTCGGAGCGCACTCTTGAAGCGTGCCTCTTCATCTGAGTGATGTGAATAGTCCGTGCCAGACCGTTTACGGAGGGTGTGAGGGTGGGGAGGGGACGGAGGTGCGGCGGGTAGTCTGTATCGCATTTCTTCCGCCCTGTTAGTATGCTTGTGTTCGCGCTGTGACTTCAAATATGATGTTCACTGCGACGGCCAGGCATAAGATGCAGGTCTGTGCCTAATTCGCAGCTCTTTCATTGACGACAGCAGGAGCACGCCGAATTCGTGTATCCTTAGAAGGCGCCGGTCCAGAGAGCAGGCCTCACGCATGTGGATAAGCATTTAGATGAGTACAACAAGGGATGTTTTGAAATCATGGGACAGTACGGCATTCGTTCAAACAAATGTAATTTACATTGCGGGGAGCGAAACTATCATAGTCCATTGTGTTTGCTGCCTTGGCATGCTGCACGCACTGAAGGAACACATTACGTTCCTGCCATGACTTCCTTTGAGGTCAAGGTGCTCAACTCATCGCGTTTTTCTTAGTATTTTTGCTTGTACGGGTTGGGCAGCTCTTCGGCACCAGCTGAGTGCTAGCACGCCTCGGCTGCAGCAGTACCAGGACTCGTTGCGGACGCGTTCCGAGGCAGTCGCAGGGTGTGCGCTGACTAGGGTGGACTCCCAGCTGCGTACATGTCTGCTCCACTACACGCCGAAGGGCGTCATTGTCACATACGTCAGGCCTGCCGCCCCGCAGCCGCGTCGGGGGGGGGGGGGCACGGCCCCGTCCGGACCAGGCGTGGCCCCCCCCCCCATACCGCGCGGAGGACCGCGTGGAGCTTAGTTAGCCAGAGCCACGAAGTGCTGGCGATGCGCGCGGGTGCTGGCGATGCTCCAGGAGGGAAGGAAGAGGAGGAGGAGGAGGAGGAGGCGGAGCAAGGATCATTCTTATATAAATGTATCTGTGTACAAATATTCCCTTTATAATTTGTTTTACAATCCGGGTGGAACGCGGAAGGGGTCCCCCCCCAAAAAAAAACCGGACTCCCGGGATCTGGGGCTTTGGGACCCTCTGGACGGGCCTCGAAGCGGCCCCCCGGGCCTCGCAGGGCGTTTTGCCAAGCCTTCACAGCACACCTGAGGCGATCAGGGGGGTCATCGGAGACGTCCCAGGGACCCCCAAGACAGCACAAGAGCGCTCCAAGAGTGACCGACGTGGCCTCCAGATTGCCCAAGAGGCCTCCAGGACGGTCCCAAAGAGGCCTCCAAGAGCACTCCCAAGAAGGCCCCAAGAGGCAACAATCATTGATTTTCTGTTGGTTTTTGGTGAATTTGGGGGTTCTCCTCTTTTTGGCTTCCCGACGCTCCAAGACGGCGGTCTTCTGGGGGTCCGAAGCCGCCGGTGTGGCTCCAAAATCGCCCCACAACCATCTGAAAGGGCTTCCGGGCAGTCCAAGAGAACCCCAGAACGGCACAACACGGGTCCAAGATGGCCCTCAGAGAGTCCCATGGCGGCCCAAGATGGCCCCAAGACACCCTCCGAAGCAGTCCAAATCATGACCCGGTCGTTCAGGGAGACCGCGGTTGGAGGCAGGGTGGCCCGAGGAAGCCCCCAGAGGCCCCCAGAATACGCCCAGGAGGCCTCCAGAAGGCCTGAAGAAAGCTTGAAACAACTTTTGTGAGGCCCCCAGAGGCTCTCCAAGGAGGAGCCTCCGCAAAAAAGAGCTGCGGAGGGTGGGGAGAATGCGCAGGGTATAGCGAAGATGAAGAATTATCCGGGCGAAGGACCCAACCATATGAAGTTGTGGGTACCGCAATTGTGAATATCTTCTTCGGTGATGCTTCCCTATGGGGCCACGAAGCGCTGCGGGGGGGAACGCATGCGGGCGGTAGCACTGGGGCCGCCGGTGAAGCTCTCTATGAGGCCACGAAGCGCTGCACTGGGTGGGTGAAATACCAAGTTAGGCGTGTGGGACGCATGCGGGCGGTCCCATTGGGGGCTTCGATGGAGCTCCCCATGGGGCCGCGAAGCGTTGTAAAGGGTTGGTGAAAATGCCGAAATGGGTGTGGGGAACGCACGTGGAAGGTCCCACTGGGGGCTTCGGTGGGGCTCCCTATGGGGCCACGAAGCGCTGTAATGGGTCGGCGAAAATGCCACATTGGGTGTGTGGGGGACGCATGCGGGCGGTCCCACTGGAGGCTTCGGTGGAGCTCCCTGTGGGAGACGCACGCGGGCGGGTCCCACTGGGGGCTTCGGTGGAGCTTCCTATGATGCGACGAAGCGCTGTACTGGGCGGGTGAAAATGCCAAATTGGGCATAGGGGGCGCACGCGGGCTGTGCCATTGGGGGCTTCGGTGGAGCTCCGTATGGGGCCACGGAGCGCTGTACTGGGTGGGTGACAATGCCAAATCGGGTGTGGGGGGGACGCATGCGGGCGGTCCCACTGGGGGCTTCGGTGGGGCTCCCTATGAGGCCACGAAGCGCTGTACTGGGTGGGTGACAATGCCAAGTTGGGTGTGGGGGACGCATGCGGGCGGTCCCACTGGGGACATTGGTGGGGCTCCCTATGGGGCCACGGAGCGCTGTACTGGGTGGGTGACACTCATTACCAAATCGGGCGTGGGGGACGCATGCGGGCGGTCCCACTGGGGGCCTTCGGTGGTGCTCCCTGTGTGGCCACGAAGCGCTGTACTGGGTGGGTTACAATGCCACGTTGGGTGTGTGGGACGCACGCGGGCGGTCTCACTGGGGGCTTCGGTGGAGCTCCCTATTGGGCCACGGAGCGCTGTATTGGGCGGGTGAAAATGCCAAATTGGGTGTGGGGGGCGCATGCGGGCGGTCCCACTGGAGGCTTCGGTGGAGCTCCCTATGGGGCCACGAAGCGCTGTACTGGGTGGGTGAAATACCAAATTGGGCGTGGGGGACGCGTGCGGGAGGCTTCGGTGGAGTTCCCTATTGGACCGCGGGGCGCTGTACTGTGTCGGTGAACATGCCAAATTGGGCGTGTAGGACGCATGCGGGCGGTCCCACTGGGGGCTTCGGTGGAGCGCCCTATGGGACAACGAAACGCTGTACTGGGTGGGTGGAAATGCTACATTAGGTGTGGGGGACACATGCGGGCAGTCCCACTGGGGGCTTCGGTGGAGCTCCCTGTTGGGCCACGGAGCGCTGTACTGGGTGGGTGAAAATGCGAAATCGGATGTAGGGGACGCATGCGGGCGGTCCCATGGGGGCTCTGGTGGAGTTTTCTATGGGGCCACGAAGCGCTGTACTGGGCTGGTGAAAGTGCCAAATTGGGCGTGGGGGACGCATGCGGGCGGTCCCACTGGAGGCTTTGGTGGAGCTCCCTGTGGGAGACGCAAGCGGGCGGTCCTACTGGGGGCTTCGGTGGAGCTGGGGCCACGAAGCGCTGTACTGGGCTTGTGAAAATGCCAAATTCGGCATGGGGGACGCATGCGGGCGGTCCCACTGGGTACTTCGGTGGGGCTCCCCATGGGGCCACGGAGCGCTGTACTGGGTGGGTGACAATGCCAAATCGGGTGTGGGGGACGCATGCGGGCGGTCCCACTGGGGGCTTCGGTGGGGCTCCTTATGAGGCCACGAAGCGTTGTACTGGGTATGTGAAGATGCCAAATTGGGCGTGGGGGACGCATGCGGGCGGTCCCACTGGGGGCTTCGGTGGAGCTCCCTATGGGGCCACGAAGCGCTGTATGGGTGGTTGAAAATGCCAAATTGGGTGGGGTGTGCCGAAATTGGTGTGGGGGACGCATGCGGGCGGTGGAGAGGAGGAGGGGGAGGAGGAGGAGGAAAGGAACGCGGGGACTGTCTCTTCAAAACGAAGACCCAACACCACAGGATGGTTGGGAAAAAGAAGCATGGAGGAAGGATAACGAATGACATTATTATGGTGGCGATGCCGGAAAAGGCAACAAGGAGTTATCGCTAAATTGTCGGTTTGACCTTCTTGCTATTCCGCCTGCGCACCAAACCTCAAGGACCAAGGTGCATGGCGCGAAGCGCCAATGCAGTCTTTTATATTCCGATTTATATATTTTTACAGGGCCGGGGACCCCGGAAAAGCGGCACACGGTACCCCCCCCCCAAAACGAATTTCGGCCTCCCCGAGCCTTTGGGGCGCTCCTGCAGAGTGCTTCGTGTCTGTCCTGCGAGTGCGACGCAAAAAAAAAATATCCTGGCGAAGGACCCGACCATATGCAATTGTGAATACCGCAATTGTGAATATCTTCTTCGGTGGCGCTCCCTATGGGGCCACGAAACGTGTGAGGGGTGTGCCGAAATGGGTGCGCGGGACGCGTGCGGGCACACCCACTGGGACCTTCGGTGGAGCTCCCTATGGGGCCACGAAGCGTGAGGGGTGTGCCGAATTGGGTGTGCGGGACGCGTGCGGGCACACCCACTGGGCCTTCGGTGGAGCTCCCTATGGGGCCACGAAGCCGAAATGGGTGTGCGACGCATGCGGGCACACCCACTGGAGCCACTATGGGACCACGAAACGTGTGAGGGGTCACGAAACGCGTGACGGGTGTGCCGAATGGGTGTGCGGGACGCATGCGGGCACACCCACTGGGGCCTTCGGTGGAGCTCCCTATGGGGCCACGAAGCGTGTGAAGAGCATGCCGAAATGGGTGTGCGGGACGCATGCGGGCACACCCACTGGGCCTTCGGCGGAGCTGTGGGGCCACGAAACGCGTGACGGGTGTGCCGACATGGGTGTGGGGACGCATGCGGGCGGCAGCACTGGGGCCTTCGGTGGAGTGGGGCCACGAAACGCGTGACGGGTGTGCCGAATGGGTGTGGGGGACGCATGCGGGCGGCGGCACTGGGGCCTTCGGTGGAGCTCCCTATGGGGCCACGAAGCGTGTGAGGGGTGTGCCGAAATGAATGTGCGGGACGCATGCGGGCACACCCACTGGGACCTTCGGTGGAGCTCCCTATGGGGCCACGAAGCGTGTGAGGGGTGTGCCGAAATGGGTGTGCGGGACGCATGCGGGCACACCCACTGGGGCCTTCGGTGGAGCTCCCTATGGGGCCACGAAGCGTGTGAGGGGTGTGCCGAAATGGGTGTGCGGGACGCATGCGGGCGGCAGCACATGGGGCCTTCGGTGGAGCTCCCTATGGGGCCACGAAGCGTGTGAGGGGTGTGCCGAAATGAATGTGCGGGACGCATGCGGGCACACCCACCGGGACCTTCGGTGGAGCCCCCTTTGGGGCCACGAAACGTGTGAGGGGTGTGCCGAATTGGGCGTGCGTGACGCATGCGGGCGGCAGCACTGGGGCCTTCGGCGGAGCTCCATATGGTGCCACGAAGCGTGTGAGGGGTGTGCCGAATTGGGTGTGCGGGACGCATGCGGGCGGCAGCACTGGGGCCTTCGCGGCGGGCACCACGCAAACGCTCCCTATGGGGCCACGAAACGTGTGAGGGGTGTGCCGAATTGGGTGTGCGTGACGCATGCGGGCGGCAGCACTGGGGCCTTCGGCGGAGCTCCCTATGGGGCCACGAAACGTGTGAGGGGTGTGCCGAATTGGGTGTGCGTGACGCATGCGGGCGGCAGCACTGGGGCCTTCGGCGGAGCTCCCTATGGGGCCACGAAACGTGTGAGGGGTGTGCCGAATTGGGCGTGCGTGACGCATGCGGGCGGCAGCACTGGGGCCTTCGGCGGAGCTCCTTATGGGGCCACGAAACGTGTGAGGGGTGTGCCGAATTGTGTGCGCGTGACGC